AAGGCTCTGGAAACCTTGCAGAAACCAGCCCAGCAACAGGAGCTCCTACAGGCAGATAAGCAGGGGCTAGAGGCGTTGAAGGCAGTGCCGGGTGGTGACAATGCTATGCATCCAGTCTGCTCTGATACCCAGCAGCTCATGCTCTTCACTCTGGCCCCACGGGCTGCCTCCAAAGGCCACAATCCAGGTTCAGAGCTTTGCAAAGAGGAGGCCAATGCTAACATCAATACTAACACTACCACAGCCATCCCCGCAGCCTTGGCACCGGCCAGGACATTGGCACAGAAGGTCAGGGCAGGAGAAGTTACCCACACCAGGTGCGTGGTCTCAAATCAGGCCAATTCAGAATGTGGGACTGGTATGCCAGATATAAACTCAGGCCCGGATCTTCTCTCCCAGGAGAACCAGCAGCCTGTAGGGAGAGCCACTCTAACCAGTCAGCTGAGACCCTCGCCCTCTGCCTTGCGTAGAGCCTTGCATGTCCTGCAGCAGAATCCAGCTCTGCTACACCAGTTGGCAACTGGAAGCCCCCTGCGACATCATATGCCACTACTTCCCATCCTGACCAATCCACGAGCACTGCAGGCATTGATACAGATAGAAAAGGGCCTGCAGATACTGTCCAAGGAGGTGCCTGGGCTGGGACCTTGTTTATGGGGGCCAGGTAGGCCACCTGGGACTAGAGAACCCCCTGAAACCAGGGGTGGAGGGCAGGGTCAGAGAGCAGACTTGGTGCAACCCACCTTGGCTGTTCTTCAGCTTCTCCACGCATTGGCCAATACCTGCTCCCAGGCCACACAATCCTCATTACCCTTATCCGCCCTCACTGAAGGCTGCTACCAGCAAGAACTGGAGCATCTAAAGGCCATGGGTTTTGCTAATTGTGATGCCGATCTACAGGCCCTCATGGCCACAGGGGGAAACATTCATGCTGCCATTGAGAGGCTGTTGGGGGTACCAGAGGCCCAGGTCCCTCCCGCTGATGCCCACAGCACATGGCCACATGGAGAGGGAGGGAGAGGAAGGGGAAGGGGAGGGGAGGGGAAGTAGCATATTTTGAACTCCTCTTACTCAGCTCGTGCGCACACTTGAACAGCTCCCTCCCTCACTGCCCAAGCTTGTTCTACATTAAAAAGATTGCTTGGATCTCATGTGTGATGTCAATTTGGGGGCAGGTGGGTGAAGAGAATGTTGTTTGGGGGAGAGATTGATCGTGTTACAGGGTCCTGGGTCCAGGCTGCTCTTATTCTCACACCCCTAATCTCGGAGTGTTTTCCAAATGTGGACGTGAGGTGGGAACGTCCTGAGTGTTTTCAGCAATTTAGTTCCCCACCAACATTGTCATCATCATCACAAACCACATATGCTCCAACTCCAGGGCGACTCTGAAGGAATCCTGGCTTTTGTTCCCCCCGGAAGCCACTCCCTCTTTCACCAAGTATCTCCGTCTTCATGCCCAGTCTCTCCGTATTACAGAAAGCCCGTCCAACCTCCCTCTCAGCTCGGGCTCTTTCTCTCTTACCTGCCTGTGTCAGGATCCTGCTTTGTGAGGTGAACTCCCACCACTTCTGAAACCCCATCCTCTCCTCCTGGGCAGGTTTCTTCCCTTTACACTGTAAAGTGCTTGACTCTGCTGCCCTATCAGCCACCGAAATTCTCTCTCCTTTCGTCTCTGAATTTCTCCAGAGTGGCCACGTCTCCCCATCCTCTGCAGCCAGACACTTACCCCCAGGATAGTGTAGAAGCTTTCTCAAAACCTCCTCATGCCTCATCTTCTCATTTTTTTTTTCTTTTGTACAAAATCTGATATACTGACCCATCTTTCTTTAAGCTGCTTTATTTAATCCATTTTCTTATCCATTTTTTGTTTTGTTTTGTTTTTATAGAGTGGTGCTTCCTGAGAGTATGCTACACTGATTCTTTATCTTTCAGGGAGTTTGACCATGTCCGTGGCTGTGGCTCTTACTTTTGTGTTCATGGTTCCTTCATCTCTGAAGGAGATGTCTATTTGTACTTTCTAAGGCCTACCAGCCTTCTCCTGGGTGTCACAGAGGAACCTGTGGCTCCGCATGGCCAGATATAGCTCAACATCTTTCCCCAGGCTCCATTCCTACTCTACATTCTAGGGTCCCTGTGTCTTGGTGAGAGTCTCTAATACTTTCCTAATCCACCCATTCTCTTCTGTAAACTCGGATCAGTCAATGAGGTGATTCACAGTGTAGGCATATGAGGTGTGCCCCAGAGGACCAGGGGCCCTGTGAAACCATGCAGCAGGACACTATCTGATGAAAGAGAGAGGTGGGAAGCATGTTGGGGGTGTTACTTTGGGGAAACCAGGGACTGTAGATTCAGAGCTAGCCCCAGGGGCCAAATGACTCTGGGCTGAAAAACTACTGAATCTCATGTTTCCTGGGGGCTGGGGAGGATGGACATCTCTGAGCTACACACTGTGACTTAATTGTTTTGTGACACTGCATGAACCTCGAGACCTGAAGATTGTGGCAGTCAGGGACTTGGCATAAAATATCTCTGGGGCCGCATGACCCATCAATGATCCCGATACAGTTTACTTTTCACTTCCCTGTGGCACCGGGATATTGGTCTGAATTTCTGAGATTAGTGATGCACATTGGGTCCCAGGGAAGAGTGGGAGTCTGGGAATGAAGTGGGTGCAATAGGCAGGGCCGTCTCCTGGGCTCCTAGAAGCATGCTTTCTCCTTTATTGCATGGGCTCCAGTAGCCGGACAGCTGAGTCAGAGGGGAGATCTTGGCAATAACGTTAATAGTCTTCCTATGGACTAGAACTGCCACCTCCAGTCTTCTGGAAGGCCTAATGGCTTCTACACATCACCCTCCCCTTCTAGGAACTATTGCATTTTAGCTTCAGGATGATAAAAGAGCCCAAACGAGAACTTTAGGGAGTGGAGCTTGTCGTCACAGCAGCAGAACCCTCCATCTGTCTGTTATCTTTGGTCTGTGAAACTTGGAGTTTGGTCAATAAGGGGAAACCATGGGGAAGAACCGCCCTGTGCTGTATCCGCAAGGTATCAGTCCTGAGTATAGGCCGCAGCTAGACCACTGTGCCGTGGTGTCAGCAGCTGTGTGATCCTGCACCCCTCCTTCTCTTCTAGTCTCTGCTCTACACTCTTTGACCTTTCTCCTTCGAGCTCTTCTGAGGCCACAGACATAGCTAGAAGAGGAGGACAGCCCAAGTTATGACGGATGGTTGGTGAATTTGTGGGCGAGATGAGGGAGGAACTAGGCTGCAAACTATGGGACTTGTGGCCTAATATCAGACACATCATTTGCCCACTCATGAACCTGAATTTCCGTACCAGTCCATCAAGTCCCTTATAGCTCTATGGTCCTGAAAATCTAGTCCAGAGATGGGTGCATTTTAAATATTACTAGGGGAGCCCAGAGTTCTGAATCCTGGCCCTGCCTTTGGTACTAACTTCCTGGGTTACTGACCCCCACTTTCTTCCGGGAAAAATGTGAGTTTCATGGCAGGTAATTGGTGTGAATGGTGAGCAGTTGCCTTGTGAGGGGGGCCTTTTGATTAAATGAAGCCAGGATCTTAGGGGGGAGCAGGCATAAGGCCCACAGAGAAGCATTTCAAGAGCAGAACAGCAGTTCCCTTACTCATTCCCACCTTCCGCTTCTTTTTACATATTTTTCTCTGTTCCTGAAATCATTGCACTCCTGGGTCTCTTTACCATTTACTACCTCAAGAAACAAAGGGTCTTCACTTTTGTTGCTGTGTGTTCCTGCAGGTTGGCATCCTCACACATATCACATACTGGATAATGCATGAGCTATGGCCCATATAGATGCATAACCTTAGGAATATTAACCTCTCTGAATCACAGGCTCTTAATTTAAATTGCAGACAATAATCACATTTTGAATTATTGGGAGCAGTAACTGGGGACTTATTTGTGTATTTTAGAACCGAGGTCACTAGGGCAAAGGAGGGTTATTTAAAAAGACAATTTGGATTTTGAACAGGAATCCCTGAATTCTAAAGCAGGGATAATTTTATAGCAAAAAAGGAAAGGGACTTCTGAATGGAAGACCAGAGGAGGAATGGGAGAAAATACAGTTTTAATGAGCACTATTCATATCCCAAGCACAATCTAGATATTTTAGAGATGTTATATAACATAGTTATCATAACCCTGTGAAATAACATAATGAAAAAACAGTCCTAAATAAGTTATGAGTTGGCTAATAATTTTCAGACTTTACATAACATTCTCGTATTTATTTATTGATCATTTTACATGTTAGCCACTATCTTGAGTTTTCTACATTCATTAACTTACTTATTCCTAGAGACAGCATTAAGAGTTATAGATTTAAAAAAAAGGTCAGATATTAACATTTATCCATTTGACAGTTGGCCAAACTGAGACATAGGAAGATTAAGCAACGTGCTCAAGGCTACAAAACTAGTATGCAGAGGAACCAGGACCCAAACCCAGGTACTCTAACTTTAGACGTTGTGCTCTTCATCACTGCCCAAAGCATCGGAAATCAGATTAAATTTACCTCAAATGTTCATTTTTTTTTTTAACTTCGACTTGCAGAAGAATATTCCCACTGTGAAGCCCAGACTGATTTAAGAGGAATTGACTTGATCTTTAGTAAGTCTCAGAAACATTTGCAGCAAAAGAAAAAAATGTTAGGTGCATTCTACCTGGCATATCATAGGTACTGAGATTTCTCCAAAGCATGCTTATTCCTATTTGTGAAGTATTCTCAAGAGTAAAAATACCATCATCTTTCTGAGCTCTTCAGAGCCACTCCAGGAGCCTCAGGAACATGGTATGTTCAATATGATTTTTGATACCTCCAATTCATCTGACCTTCTCTTTCCTTCCAGGGCTTCCTCTCCTGTAAACACATTTCTGTCATATCAGAGGTCTCCATCCATGTAAATGCATCTAGACAGCTACCATACCCATTTATTTTCCTTATCTCCAAACTGTGCTCAAATTTCATATTAAAAATTTCCACAAGTGAAGCAGTCTCAGAAGTCGCCTCTGAATCTCCTTGGTCCTAGCCCCATAGATGATTGGGTTGAGCACAGGAGGCACCAGCACGTAGAGGTTCGCCAGAAAGATGTGCACACTCTTGGGGACTTGGTTCTGGCCAAAGCGGTGGGTGAGGAAGGAGAAGAAGGCAGGAATGTAGGAGACCAGGATGACTCCGTGGGGGGAGCCACAGGTACTCAGAGCCTTGTGCCTGGCATCTTGAGATGGCAGGCGGAAGACAGCATAGAGGATAAAGCCATAGGAAATGGCAATGAAGATGCAATCCAGACCCATGGCCAGCAGAGCCACAGTCAGCCCATAGACAATATTGACAGTGATGTTGGCACGGGCCAGGTAAGCAATGCCCATATGCTCACAGTGTGTGGGTGCCATGATATGGTGATCACAGTAAGGCAGTCGCCTCAGCAAAAAGATGAATAGAGAGACCACAGCTATACTCTGGAGTACGCCAGCAAGGCCAATTCTGCCTATGATGCTATGGGTGAGGATGATTGTATATCTCAGTGGGTTGCAGATAGCCACATAACGATCCAAGGCCATGGCAAGAAGAACTGAGGACTCCAGAGCATAGATAGAATGGACACCAAACATCTGTGCCAGGCACCCCCCAAAGGTAATCTCACCAGCATGGAGCCACAAAATGCTCAGCATTTTAGGCACAGTGGTGGAGCTGAGAGCCAGGTCAGTGAGTGAGAGAAGGCACAGGAAGAGGTACATGGGTGCATGAAGGGCATCGTCTGTCACAGTGACCAGGATGAGGGCAGCATTCCCAGCCAGAGCTACCAGATACATGGCACAGAAGGGGGGCAATACAGATGTGGGCCCTCTCCAGCCCTGGGACCCCTGTCAGGAACAGAGTGGCGGGCAGACTGTCATCGCTGAGGTTGGAAGCTGGCATTCTGCATGGAAATAAAGGGCTCTACCCAAGGGGTGATGGTAGGACTGCCCTGTCGCATCAGGTCCTTGGTTCATTCACAAGTCAAACAATCTTGTCTAGGCTGAGAAAAACACATATTGTTTTTAACTTGTTCCAAATCTTAAAATACTCTATCACATATAATCCATTTTTTCCATCTATTTTCTATAGTCAAAATTCATGTTTTGATTTCCACATTCCAAGTGCCAGCTATGCCTAACAGAATCCTTTGTAGGATAACTGGACTTCTAAACGTCAGTCCTAATCTGTCACAGAAACTTTGCAGAACCTTGAGAAAAATCGTTTCCCTTCTCTGGACAGTCTCCAAGTAGGAAGAACAGTGAGTCTGGAATCCCAGTCACCGCTTTTCTACCTATTCATTGTTTAGCATTGGACAAGTTCCAAAATACTTTTCAGAGTCAACTTTCTCATTTATAAGTTGGAAATGACAGCACCCAGCTTCTTTATCTCATGATTTTGGGTAGGTAAGAAAGGGTTAAGTATATGGGATTAATATGTCTGTACACCAAAAATAGTGTCTTCCCCATTTGCGCAAGCTCTTTTTCCTGTAGCCACATTTTGGAGTGCTATAGAGTATTATAATTATTTTATGTCTGCTTTACCAAGGGGAGATCCAAGTTCAGAAAAATAAACTAATGCAATCCAGATCACATAGCGTGTTACTATCAGACTGAAATTACATCTCAGGTCTCCAGATTCAAAGTTTGGTGTTTTCACCTTACTTAGCCTCACTTATATGGCCCCAATACTTGAATTTTTTTCCTTGCCTGATACTCTAATATCAGTATCTAATGCTGCGATCACTTTACTCCTTATCTGGACTTCAAAGAGACAGATACTAGTGAAAGCCCTTTTCATTTGCCTGGGGACTTCCAGTGATGGCCCAGGCCACTGGAGGAAAAAATCATGGGTGGTGGAGTGGAGAGCTGGAGTCACTACCACCTTCGCCTGTTCTCCCTTCCCAGCCTATTCTTGCCGGCAAAGGAAGATTTCCAAAGATTACTATAAGGAATTTACCACTTTGTGAGCTACTCTGCCACTCTATGTGGGTACCAGAAAGCCTAGGTCCAAACAAGGCTGTTTTCTAGGAGAGCAATGTGAAAAAGACACTGAGCTGGAGCAACACTCTGGGTGGAATGGGAGCATCCTTCCAAATTCATCCCACTGGGCCTTGGCTCTGGGTCACTATGATGACTTGGAGAACTAGACTTTAATAATTGAACTCTGAGTTCTTTCTTGGCACATATTTTTTTTTCTGTAATCTGATTTCAAAAACATACCTGTGTCAAGTGACATGTGTTCGTAAGTTGAGCATGTTGAGGCTGGAGCTCTGTGATGGGTGTCACCTGTGAGCATGGCGCTGTGTGGGGAGTACAGGGTAGAGCAACAGCTTGTGCAGGTGATATGTGCCTGAATGCACTCGTTTCTTCAAGGATGTGAAAGCTGTGTTCTTGTGCAGGATGGGTGGATGTGATTTGGAGAATGATCGGGTCTGAGTGTGGAATCTGAGTTCAAAAGTCTGATCTGTCCTCACTTTTGTGAGCTCATTGAGTATCTCTAGCTTAGTTCTGAGTTCCAGCCTCCTCTGGTCAAGGGATTTGATAAGTGAGGTTATTTATTGACTCTCTCTGATGCTCAATTATGAAAACCCAAGGCTGTTGGCTCTAGAGACTTGATCCATGGTGCTCATTCTTAGGGGGACAATAGAGAGGGGTTGAAAAAAGAGAAAGACATGAGGAAAGAACATTTTCCATAGGGAATTTTCAAGGAAAGTGGAAATAAAATCTATTAAGTTTTATGTTTCTCTTCTCTTCCTTTCCCCTTTCTTTCCTTTTCTTCTTTTTCTCTGTTTTCCCTGTTAACTGTGGTATCTCTCTGAATTTCCACGTATAGTGGCCCATGGTATTCTGTGTATACGTGTTATCATGAATGCTATTGGTAAATACGATGGTAAGAAATGGTGGTGGAGAGGCCCAGGCTCCATTGTCCCATTAGCCTTCATAAGTTCAAAAATAAGTTATGAAGAATTTTAAGAACGTGGCAGCAGAATACTAAGTCAAATACAGGATCCTTCTGAGCATAGGCCTTATGCCACTGTGCAGGTTTCACACTCACAGAGCTCACCCTAGGAGTGAGGCCATCAGTTCTCTAGCCAGATGCACTCAGATCCTTTGACATTATCCATCTATCAAGCCTTTGCACTAAGGATTCCTTCCATCAAAGCCTTCAGAGTTCTGCACTCTTTTCCCTTGTTCATGCTTGTCTTCTCTCATGTTTTTCTTTTTTTAAGATTTATTTATTTATTTGAGAGAGAGAATGAGCATACACAAGAAAGTGGGGGAAGGGCAGAGGGAGAGGGAGAGAGAATCTCAAACAGACTCCATGCTGAGCAAGGAGCCCCACGAGGGGCTCAATCTCATGACTCTGAGATCACATCCTGAGCTGAAACCAAGAGTCAGACACTCAACCTTACTGAGCCACCCAGGCGCCCCTCCTCTCATGTTAGTACAAACTGTTGGTTTTCAAAAATTTTTGCCTTGGTACTTTCCAAAAGAATTTTGCAATAGTATATACTCCCTCAAAAATGTTAAGTTGACATCAAAAAATTATCATTTACTGTTTAAATATTAGAAAAAGATAAAATGTACAGTATAGTGTGAATATTGATGTTTTTAAGATAAAAATACCACATCAGTCTTTTAAGAGTATCCTATGGAATGTAAACAGCCTTGAAATTTTCTTCCCCTCATTTATTATCCATTTAAAAATACATGAACAAGCTTTCCATAACTATTATATTTTTCTTTTTTTAGAGAGAGAGAGCATCAGTGGGGATGGGGGGTTGGGGCAGAGGGAGAGGGAGAGAGAATCCAAAGCAGACTGCACGCTAAGCATGGAGCCCGATGTGGGGCTCAGTCTCATGACCCTAAGATCATGACCTGAGCTGAAATCAAGAATCGAACGTTTAACTTACTGAGCCACCCAGGCTCCCCTATAACTGTCATAAATTTCAACATTATTGTTTGTCTCCTTAAAGTTGGTCCATTTTCCTGCATAGTAATTTTTGTGCTTAAAAATCTTGTGATGATCACTCTTCCTTCCTTGTTTGCAATAGAAATTTATATGCAAATTAGAACTATTTATTTTATTTTCTTCAATCATTAGGCTCTGCGTGTTAAAATGTTCTACAATTACAATTATTTTAAGTACACATTATACAAGCAATAAAAAGAAGCTTTAATTTCATAAATTATTACACATAAACCTATTTTAATACAAAGTTTTTCATAAGATAGATGGGGTTTTCTTATTATTCCTTCAATGAATTTATATATTCAAAAATTAATAGGGTGATAGTATGAGACAAGGTTCACCCTTAGTTATCTCCATTTAATTTTTATAAAACTAAGTTCTGGAAACTCTTGTTTTTAAATCAATAGCTACGAGTGGAAGGAGTTTGAAGTGTCTGGCACACTGACCTAACAGAGATTCAGTAAGAGCTGTAATCAATTTCTGCCGTGAGAAAGGAGATTGTGCTTGTAGAAGCTTAACAGAGAGTGCTCACAGAGCTGGGGCCCAGACCTTCAAGAATGGGCCACCAGGAGCTGGCGCTGGTATATGTGAGTTGTATGGAGGTAAGGGTGGTGGAATAAACACCACAAACTGGAACCGGATGCTTTTATAAGAATCAACTGCTGTTGCCAAGGATAAAATAGTTGCTTGGGTGACAATGACAGAAGCAGAAAGCTAACAGGAAAAGTAAATCCCTTCTTTTAGCTTCCAGTCTGTATTCAATGGCTCCTATTGGCAGAGCCTAACAATATATTTGATTTTTTTGAACTTTCAGATACTGCCAAAATACTATAATCTAAAACCACCTATTAGTCTTAAAATAAGTATGTATAAGGCAGGGAAAGCAAACCCTAGCTGATATGTGGTCATGCAATTAATAAAGTGGCTTGCTCTGAGTCAGTTATTAAAATTATCCCTCTACATGTTGCTTAGGAAACAGAGAAGAACATGAGAAAGCACGAAATTGAATTTTAAATGTTTTTTTTTCAGATGACTGAATTTTTATAGCTAAGTGTATAATCATAATCTTAAGAAAGCTAAAATCAATATCATAAAAACTGATCTCTTTCTATCAGAGGTGGTTTTCTGGCGATTTAGGCTTTGTTCTTTCATCAAACTAGCTCCTTGGTATCTAACCTGGACCAATCTTATCATCTAGCTTTCTGATGGTAGCCCTAGGACCGCTTAATACTCTACAAAAAAAATCACAAATATCCACGAATTAACACAATGTAAATTTGCAGCCTCATATTTCAGCTTTACCAAGCAATTATTCTATCTGATACAGTTAATTTTCTCAGTCATTCCCCTTAACTGCCATCTCAAACATCCACTGCTCTCTTAGAACTTGCTGCACCACTTACACTAAACAGGTAGAATATTTAGAATTTGGTGACTACTTAAATAGATATGAAGAATGCATGAGACAAAAGATGTGTGGAATGATAGTTAGGTTTCAGCCTTAGCTACCAAAGTCATGCCACTCACTGAGAAGAGGAATCTAAGAAGAAAAAAAGTTTATATTCATATTTTGGACATTAGATTTTAAAGTTCCTAAGAAACAGCCGGTTAAAAGTGCCAAGTAGTCAGTTGGAAAATAAGAAATAAGTTAGGGCAGGATATACAGATGTGTTGATTAGTGTGTTTCAAAGATAGTGAAAATCTAATTTTTCTTCCAAGGTCATTCAGAGAGAGTACGTAGAGTCAAAACCGAAGCTAGCTTAGCAAAGAACCATAGACAATGTTAATGTTTAGGAGAGAATGGAGGGAGAGCCATTTGTAAAGGAAACTGAAGAGAGGCACCGAGACAGGTGGAGGACCTGAAAGAGTGACATTACTGGTCCAAGAAAGGAGAAAAAAAAATCAAGAAAGAAGTGAAGTCAACTGTA